TCACCTCAGCCTCCCAAAGGCGCGGGATTACAGGCTGAGCCACCGAGCCCGGCACTGCTACCAATATTAACAGAGCAAAAAGAAAAAGAGTCCAGCATTCTATGGAAAATTAAAATGACTCTTGGTCACGTTGAAAAGACAGGGTTTCTTCATATGAAAACACATGTTAGGAACTGCAGATCCACCTCTGTGGCAGATGAGTAAGTAGGGGTATACCTCGTTCGGGCAGAAACCCCGGTTATAGCCGAGGGTGCCACTTGACCCTGCCACTGACATGGCCAAGTGGCTGTGCTGCCTTGAGAGGATGCCTCACCATTTTCCTACAACGGAACCTTGCAGTTAATGACTAGAGATGCCTCCATGCCCTCCACCAACCTGGCCTCACAGCAAAGCTGATAGGGACTCACCACTGAGCTCATCCCAGGCCTCCAGGCCACACTGCCCCAGGACTCCCTCCACGGTTAGGGAGGCAGCTGACCCTGACATTCACCCACAACCGAAACATGGCCAGGACCTTGCTGCCCTCTGACCTGAGACCTTCCAGAACAGGTACCCAGAGCCCTGCAGTGTGACCCAGACCCGTCTCTCCCTCTACCCCCATTCCGCCTCTCCTCCAAAAGAAAATTCTCCGTCCCCAGTAGATCCCACACAGAACCTGCTGCCAAGGCCACACGGGTCTGCTTGTGAGCAGAACCTGGGTCCAACTTCCTGGTATTTTATTCGCTTCCTTGATCTCTTAACACACCGTCACACAATGTCTCCTGACTCCTCTCCACCACCAGGAGGAAAGGAAGAGGACTCTCGTCTTATGGAAGAGAAACTGAGGCTCAGAGAGTCTTCCTAAGCCATATATGACAATAAGAATTCTAATTAGATAACATTTTCAATGATTATTTACATGTCAAATGCATAAGCACCATAATAAATTTACCAAAGATACATGGAAAACCTGTAAGAAAAAGCGTACATCTTTACTGAAGCACATGCAAAAGAAAAATGTTCCTAGGGAGAAGCGTAGATATGCTAATTCTTCCCAGATGGATGATGTTTTGTGATGTCTGCATAAAGGATGACAGCAGCGGTCCTTTCCTGAGCCCCGCTCTGTGCCCAGAGCTTCCCACGTGCCGCCTTGCCAACCTCACCAAGCAGTGAGGGTTAATGCTCCATTTCGCACAAGAGGACTCAGGCTCAGAAAGACTCAGCAGCGTACCCAGGTTGGAGGGTCGATGAGGTTCCAATACAAGGCCCTCCCAGCACAGAGGTCAGGTACACTCAAGACCTCAGAGCCATGGCATTCGTGGCCAGGCGCACTCACGACCACAGACCCATGGCATTCCTGACCAGAGACACTCACAACCACAGAGCCAAGGCGCTCGTGGCCAGGTGTACTCGTGACCACAGAGCCACACTGGTGGCCAGGTCCATTCACGACCACAACAGGGACTAGATATTTATTTACTGACCACACACATGAGAGACAGAGAGAGAGAGAGAGAGAGAGAGAGAAAAGGATGGGGAACGGAGGAAGTAAGGGAAGAGGAGAGACTGACTTGTTTCTATTGCATCTATTACTAAATTGATTTTTTCACTTATTATTGTGTCATACATTTTTTAAAAAATCTCTGCCAAGTTTTATCATAAAGAACAATTTTGCATGGTTTGCTTTTCACCAATGTATTCTGGCATGCTTCTAATGATATCAGAACCACCTGGATCAGGCAACCCCTTGGGATCCCCTCCCACTGTGGGAGCTTTTCTGTGCTCTCAATAAATCCTGCTTTCTAAAAAAAAAAAGAATCACCTGGATCAATGACAGCCAGTGTGCATACTCTGTAGTATTTTCCACACACTGTGACCAATTCAGTATTATTGCCACTCTAGTGATGGACACCAGTTTTGTCCAACATAGCATAGTATTCTATTTCAGATTCCCTCAAAGCTGGGTAGTTGTTGGCGAGGATGACTAATTCGCTTTGCCTTGGAGGATCATCTTCAGAGTCTGTTTGTACCCCAGCACATAATTTCCACTTTTCATAACGAGTTGGAACCCTGAGTTGACGGATGCCAGCGACTTTTTCATCTTCCTTGGGGCCACCATCTTCCTGCCTTAGGTGTGGGGACAGCCCCCATGCAAGAGCAGCCATCGAGATGGCCAGGGAGCGAGAAAGAAAGGAGTTTCCATGATGCAAAATGTTTTCACTCACCGTACAGTCTTCAAAAACACTGCAAAGTCACACTGAAGAGAGGAAAACTATTGAAGAGGATGGGAACGCGTGCATGGCACATCTGGGGAAAGCTTCCGAAAGGCATATAGAGTATGGTACTTAGATCCAGGCATATGCAGTAGGAAAAAACTGAAGAAAGTACACACAGAAACACTAACAGTGATCACCTCGTCTAGGCAAAAAAAGGGCAGGTGATCATTATGATCTTTATCTGCAGCTAGTTTTCTTAATTTTTCAAATATTATAAAAATAGCTTTCAAATCACAAAGTCTTTTAAGAAACAAGGAATCAATGAATTCCATACCTAAACCAAAAATCAATGGTCTGGGTAATCACTTAACATTCTAATAAAAGATTGATTTGACTCAAGGTATGTCAAGGCTCACAGCCCAGAGAGGTTGAGACACTCAGGATCATGGTGTGTTTGCGAGCCATGTTTTCTCACTCAAATGCATTTATTAGCCACCTATGAGATGGCAGGCAGGGGCTGGGCTCTAGAAATTTCTACATAGGCGTCAGGAAAATGCCATAAATACTACAAGAGATACGGTGTACAGTGCAGAATGGGCCCAAGAGAGGAAGAGAGCTGTCCTCTCTGAAGGTCTTGGGGAAGACACACCAGTGGGAAGGTGACACGTGAGCGACCCTGAAAGGTGGCCAGACAGGAGGGGAGCAGGGATCGGCAGGTGAGCAAAACACACGTCCTGCTTGTCGTAGCTTTGAAAGCACAGCGAGCCTGTTGGATGGCAGGTGTGCCTGGTTCCTGCAGGAGCCAGCTAGGCAGGCCCCCAGATGCTGACCAGCGAGTCTGGACCTCCTGGGGTGACAAGCTCGGAGACTCAAGGGACAGGCAGAGACACGGGCACCAGACACATAGCACAAACAGGCAGCTTGGCCCAGGGACGGTATGAGCTCTACCCTGATGCCAGGTGTGGGCAGACCCAGGCGGGAAACGGTGGGTTCCATGGGCAGGACCCAACAGAGCCTTTGCAGCAGTCGTTGGTGAACTCTTGGAGGTGAGGCTGGTGATGGTGGGTCACGACCTAGGTCACAGTGTGGGAGGATGGATGCCCTCAGCGACTGTGCTGGCATCTCAGCGCACTGTCTGTGCCCACTACTGCCCAGCGTGCCCAGGACTCTCAGACAGGGACCTGCTGACAACCTGTCACCGTCCCTTCCTCTGAATGAAAGGTACCGTCACTGCCTGCTTGATCCACGATCTGGAAATTGGTTCCCTCTCCCTCTCCACTCTCCCTCACCTGCTCAGGCCCAGCTCTGCCCAGGTCCTTTGAGGGTTTGACCCAGGAATTCTCCTAGTCTCTGACTACATTTCCCACGTTTCTTCTGAAAGTGCCATTTATTTCTTTACTAATAAACAAGAAAATAGAGCAGAGTTTGGTAAACCCCAAAAACCTCTCCTCTCCAACACATATGCTTCTTGGATAATCACACTTCAGGTGAGCCACAGCACAACATCCCGGCAAAGCCACCTAGCCACTGCACTGCCTGCCATTCTCACCCCTCAGAGAAGGACACATGTCCTCATGCCTGCAGGCACCTGAAAGTCTTTCTTTTGTTCCTGAGAACAGTCACTATCAAACATTTTGGTCACATACTCTACAAGTAAAAGCATACAAATAAATACTTTTTAAAATTATATATCCTCAATAAAAGTCTATGTGCTTCTCTCTCTCTCTCTCTCTCTCTCTCTCTCTCACACACACACACACACACACACACACACACACACAAGGTACTAGTGTCAACTTTTATAAACTTTGGTTTAAAAAAAAGGGTAATGCCACCACTCCTCCGGGGTCCGTGACACTTGTGCAGAGCCACCCCGTGTCTTGCAGTTCGGGCTGCCCTCTTCTGTGTCTCTGCATCATGCCCCCTCTTGTCAACACCCACACGGACTCCAACCTGCTACCCTCCAGAGGCTTTGCATCCTGGCTGTTTCTTCCCAGTGATTTCTTCCATTCTGCCTGAGAACTCTTAGAGATCTTCGGTAAACCAGAGCGTCAAGCGACAACCCTGAAGCTCTTTCAGCTACTCAAGCAAGGAGGCCGATGGAGAACTCTCACAATCGGGGATGGTTTTGAAGAAGGAAGAAGAAAAGCCACCCCACCCTCTCAACTTACCTGAGGATCCCTTGAGACAGACCAGGCTCTCAAGTGACATTCAGGTCTCTGTGCGGCCTCCCAGGCCTTCAGGCCGGAAGCCCGTGCCCAGGGGCACCCAGCTCAGCCCTTGACTCTGACCAGGTCTGTGCCCACCATCCTGCCAGCACAAGTTCTTCCCTGCCCACCAGCCCTCCTCCCGGGGATTGAATTCACAGCATTTACAGAACCCTCTTAGCCCAACCAGTCTAGAAGCATCTAGTATTCCTCTAAAGGTAAAAGTGTTTCAGAAAAGCACTGGGGCGGCAAAGTGGGTCTGGGGGGCAGAAATAGACATGGAAAAGAGAAGAAGGTGTCCTCTCCACAAAGAAACAAAGGAAGCTTCCTGAGCAATGTGCTCTCCAAGGGAAAGGGGCACCTTTTCAAAACAACTGAGATGACCTCATGCAGACAGGCCACACATTCCTTGTAGGTACTGCTGACACTTGCGTGTAAACCTCCAAGCTTAAATCAGTCTACCCTACTCAGGGCAAACTCAAACTGCAAACTCCGCCAATTTTATTAAGTACTAACCCCTCTGAAAAGAAAGTGCGTGCAGGGCCCTGTTTTAGCTGCTGGTGACATTTTTAGTGGCGCTCCTCACACCTTCTCGCCTGCATGCTGAGATTCCACCAAGCACAGCAGAAGACACAGCATCCCACCTCCTCCACAGAACCCACCATGCCCGTCTTCAAAGGTGTTTCTCTAAGTCTTCTTAATACTCACTTGGCAAAAGCATTTCTTCTGTTAATCTCTTTTTGGGAAGAAGCAGACGTTGTACTGAAACTTCTCCTGAAACCTAAATGTGAAAGTTAAGGTTAGAAGAGGAAAACAGATCACAAACTTCCAGTCCTTATTAAAATGCATCTTTTCTCATTCCCCTGTAGATTTTCTATTATAGCAAACATTTTTGGGGAAACAGAAAGCAAGGAAGGTATGTAAACACAATATCACTGTGTAGATTTCCTGAGAAACTTTCATCTGTATCTTCCTGACCAAACTGTGCCGCATATATGAACAGGTTAAGAGCATGACAACAATTTTGGAGATTTTTATCATAAGATTTCCTGGAAATCAAATAAAATTAAATGACACATTAATAAAACTGAATATTTATACTATAAACTATTATCGTCTTGATAATCATATGGAAAAAGGAAAAGGAGAAATGGTCTTCAAACACCATCATCCAAGTGAATCTTACTGATAAAATGCTGAACAATTAAATTCGGAGCTTATGATTATTGGCATCTCCAAATAACAGAATCCAATCAAAGACCTCACAAAAGGTACATTTCTTACAAGATGCTTTCCAGAAGGAATTGCACTGCCAGTCCTGGCGGCACGGCAGACCAGATGTGCCGGCTTAATTTCCTGATTGAAGCCACTCCAATTTAAAACAACAACAATTTTTTTTTAAATGCCATTGAGCTGACACAAAAGGCACAATTTCAAGGAGGCTAAAACCCCAGAAGAGAAGCCGTGAGCAGCCACCAAGCACCAAAGCAATCTACCCCTCAGACCGCCAGCTTCCCCAGGATTCTAGGGAGCGTGGCTGCTCACAAGACATAGGGAAGGAAACACCGCCAGGGCCTGCAGACGGAGACCCTCACCCGGCTCCCGGGTATGGCGGGGCCCCAATCCGCTCACTCTTAGGGTCAGGTTAAGTGAGAAGCAGGACATGACACTGGCCAATGAGGATGAGGAGAGTGGGTTGTGTGGACCCTACGCTCAGCAGAGAACACATTTCCTCCTCTCAAAGCTGGGACCTTGAGTCATATCCACGTCATCTACGCAATATTAAGCAACACTACAGACCAGGTGTTCAAGTACCCCAGGGTGGCAGGCCTCCAGGCAACAGGCAAAAGTGAACAGAACCGTCTCTGGAGGCATCAACCGAGGCCTCAAAGAACTCTCCTGTGTAAAATTCTGAGGGCAATAAACACCTCACAGCAATAAATTATAAAACTCACAAGGAAAGAAGCAGCATAGGCTCAACAGAAACAGACTCACAAAGGCTTTAGATAATTAATTAATTGACGCAAAAGATAACAATATTTAAATGTTTAAAGACACAAAAAACTTGAAAATAATAGGGAAAGAGTAAGCAATGGCAAGTAACTATCAAGCAGATGGAACATTTTATAATTAACTTTATGGGTGAGTTATGCAACAGAATAAACATAGCTGAAGAGAGAATCAGGAAACTGATGAAAGAAATCAAAGGAGATATAAATACATGAAAAGGTATTTCATGTTCATAGATAAAAGACTCAATATTAAGGTGTCAGATCTTTCCGACTTGATCTACATATTCAACTCAATCCCAATTAAAATCCCAGCAAGTTATTTTGTGGATAGTAACAAATTTATTGTCAAGTTTATACAGAGAGGCAAAGGGTCCAGAATAACCAACACAACTTCAAAGGACAATATCCAGATCAAAGCCTGGCACGACTCAACCTAAGGAACTACTGAGAAGCTGCAGTAATCAAGACAGTGTGGTACTGGCAACAGATTGGACAAACAGATCAGTGGAACAGAATAGAGTCCAGAAGCGGACTCACACAAATGTGGCTGACTTATCTTTGACAAAGGAGCAAAGGCGGGTCAATGGAAAAAAGACAGATTCTTCAACAAATGATTCTGGAACAATGTAACTACTGTTACGCACGGCAGGGAAATTACGGTGTTTTCTAGACATTGACATGCAAAAAAATCTAGACACAGACCTTATTCCTTTCACAAAAATGAATTCAAAATGTATCTCAGACCTCAATACAAAACACAAAACTATGAAACTACCGGAAGATACCATCAGGCAAAAATGAGGGCCATCTTGGGTCTGGTGATGACTTTTCAGATGAAACACCAAAGCATGATACATGAAAGAAAAAAAAAATGAATAACTTGAACTTCATTAAAATTAAAACCTTCTTGCTTCATGAAAGATGCTGTTAAGAGAATGAAAAGGCCAGGGAATGCAGTGAGCCATGATCGTGCCACTGCCCTCCAGGCTGGACGACAAAATGAGATGCCAACTTAAAAACAACAACAAACACAGTTTTAAGATGAGCAAAAGATGTGCACAGGCACCTCAGCAAAGGTGATACAGCACACACAGACGGGACCCTGCATCCGTAGTTCAACCATTATGAAAAATAGTACCAAGTTCTTCAAAACTCTGAAGGAATGACCGTGTAACCCACCAATTCCGCAGCTGGGTCTATATCCAGAGTAAAGGAAGCCATCGTATTCAATGGAAAAAGGACAGGCTCTTCAACAACTAATTCTGGAACAATGTGACTAGTATTCAATAGCCCAGTAGGGAAATTATAGAGAAACCTGCACTACCATGTCTTGGCAGCACAACTCACAACAGCCAAGACACGGTGTGTATCCAGCTGGTCATTGATGGATGAGTGTGTGGTGTGTTTATGCAGTGGAACGTGACTCTGCCATGAAAGAGAATGGAGTCCTGTCATTTGCAGCAACAGGGATGGAACTGGAGGTCCTTACGTGAAACGAGTCTGGCACGGAAGGACAGATGTCGCGTGTTCTCCCTCATGTGTGAGTGCTAACAAGTGGATTTCATGGAGGCAGAGAGTCGAAAGGCAGTTACCAGAGGCCGGGCCGGGAGTGAGTGCAAAGGGAGATGAAGAGAGGTTGGTTAATAGGAACAGACAGGTGGGCAGGAGGAAGGAGCGCTCATGTCAGCAGTGCAGGGATATCATGGGCCACAGCAACTGATACGGACTTCAGAAGAGCTGGAAGGACAGCAACACCCCAACACAAAGAAAAGAGGAACACTTGAGGTGATGAGTTTTCCAGTTATCCTGACTTGATCATGGCACGTTGTACGCATGTGTCAAAATATCACCCGTACCCCCAAACGCATGCACCTACAATCCATCAGTTAAAAGTACAAAGATAAATAGACAAAAAGGAGAGGGCGCATAAGCATAGGAAAAGACAGTCTGCGTCTGTCACAGGCTGAACTGTCCTTGCCACCCAGCCCAGCGGCGAATGTGATCTATGTGGAGACAGCGCTTTAAAGAGGTAACTGGGTGCCGGGCTCGGTGGCTCAGCCTGTAATCCCGCGCCTTTGGAGGCTGAGGTGAGTGGATTGCCTGAGCCTGCGGGTTCGAGACCCGCCTGGGCAACTTGGCAAGATCTCATCTCTACAATAAATCAAAAAAATTAGCCGGGTGTGGTAGCGCGCGCCTGTAGTTCCAGCTACTTGGAAGGATGAGGTGGAAGGATCGCCGGAGCCCAGCAGGTTGAGGCTGCGGTGGCCGGGAGCGGCCACTGCACTCCAGTCTGGGCAACAGTGAGACTCCAACTCAAAAAAAAAAAAAAAAGAGGTAACTGGACTGGGGGAGACAGGGGGCTCTCATCCAGTCGGGCTAGTGTCTTCATGAGAAGAGGGGACGAGGACACAGACCAACGGCGAGAAGGCCGTGTTACGCACCAGAGGCAGGCGGCCATCCGTAAGCCCCAGAGAGAGGCCATGGGAGGAACCAAGCCTGCAGCCCCTTGATCTCCATGTCCAGCCTCTTGGGACCGTGAGAAAATAAACGTTTTTGTTATGGTATCCCAAGCAAACTAATACATCGTGTAGTTTTAGGAAATTCCAAATGAAAACAACACACCTATCAGAACTGTGAGAACCCATGGGTGATAATTAAGCCTCAATAAACATTTAAGAATTGGTATACACAAATCACTGTTTCAGAGATGGTTATTCATATTTTTTAAAAATTGGATCCTTCCATACATAGGTAAATTGACAGGTGTAAAACACAAAAATATAGACCTTTCAGAAAATAATATAGGACTATGTCTTTATGACTTCTGATTTAGGAAGAGATTTCTTAGGACAAAATATATAAATGGTTTGTTATTTTGATTACATAAAAATTTCTGCCCATCCCAAGACACCAAAAATATTGCTACATCCACATATGGGTGGAGAAAACACAAAGAAAATCAAGGGAGTAATGAATATAAACCCCGAGACCCGGAGGCCTGAGGAGGGCTGTACAGAGAGTGCGGCAGAGTCGGGCTCAGGGTCCACAATGCAGGTAGTGGGGAGGGTTCCATGTCTGCTACAGTTACATGAACTAGACAGACACATTGTATAGACTCTGTGGACATGTACGCCTCACAATAAAACATTTTCAATAAACAGAAACAAAGGAATAACTAAGGAGTAACCTTACCGGGATAAGGATTCTGCTTGTTTGAAGAGATTTCTGTGAGTGTGTCCAGGGAATCTGTTACTCTGTGAATAAAACACACACAGTACAAGTGTCAGCAGCAGCCAGTGTCCAGGGCTGAGACTGACCCTCAGCTGAGGGGTCCACACCCAGGGCTGCTGTTTCACTCATGCCAAATCCAAACTGAGCTCCAGGATGACCTCAGGCTAGCTATTTCTAGACAATATCCAGTAATAACAATAACCCAGTAGAAGACGCCCTCATCACCTGAGGATAATCAGTATAAATGGAGTCAGCTTTACCGGAATCCACTTGCAGTGTGGCCCTAACTTCACTTCCTGGAAATTTCAACTCCAGAGGTGAAACCAGAAAAGCATGAAAGTTTATTTTATATTAAATTTAGCAAATTTTAGATTAAAATTATTTTTACAAAACACTACGTTAATTGAAAGAAAAAGATATCAGCTGAGTTTGAGTGTGTGTGTGTGTGTGTGTGTGTATGTACGTACGTACGTGTGTGTGTGTGTGTGTATAGCTGATACAATTCAATATCCTTTACTTTGTAATTGACTCTAAGCAAAACTATAAAGGTCACCTTCCGGATGGGCTTCTCTTTATGCTTTGATATTCAAATCATTCTTTTTTTTTTTTTTTTTTTTTTGAGTGAGTAGAAGTCTCACTCTGTCGCCCAAACTGGAATACAGCGGCACAATCATGGCTCACTGCAGACTCGAACTGCTGGGCTCAGGCAGTCCTTCTGCTTCAGCCTTCCAAGTAGCTGGGACTACAGGCGTGCACCACCATTTCCAGCTAATTTTTATTAATTTATTGTAGAGCAAGGTCTTGCCAAGTTGCCCAAGCTGGACTCGAATCCCTGGACTCAAGTAATTCTCTCACCTCAACCTCCCAAAGTGCTGGGATTACAGGCATGAGCCACCATGCCCGGCCCAAATCATTTTTTACTTGTAAAGACAACTCAGACAGCTTCATTTCCCTTCCAATGTGATCAACCTAAATCTGTAAGGTGTCCACTGTGGGTCACCCCCTCTAGTCTCCCTCATCACGCCAAGACGTCCCATGACTCCTCATCATCACCCCTTCCAGCCTTGCTCAGCATGCCAAAACATCCCATGACTCCTGTAAACGTCTGCGATTTCACCTTGCAATTCACATGCTTCATCTTAACATGGACACAGCAGTTGATGAGGGACCCACAGACACAAGGGAGCCGGGCTTGGTGAGCAGGACAGGTGCTCGCATGAGGCTGTGACAGGCAGCTAAGAGGAACTCAGCGCTCGCAACAACCCATTCCTGAGTCATGAACGCCTCATGGTGAGAAGAGAAAATGAATACCATGGCCCTGAAGACCGCTCAGGCAGCACGCGGGCCTATGTGTGTCCATGTTCGCGTGTCTGTGTATGTCTGTACCTGTTTGTGCATGCCTATGTGTTTGTCTGTGTGTGTGGGCCTGTGTGTGCATGCCTACATGCATATGCCTATGTGTGCCTTTGTGTACATGCCTGCATATGCCTGCATGTGCTTGCCTGTGCGTGCCTGTGAATGCGTGCCTGAGTGTACGTGCCTGTGTGTGCACGCATGTGTGTGTGAGAGTACAGCTCACCCAGTCAGAGAGTTTTCTCTAAGGAATTCTGACTGAGGTCCATATCAGAAGCAGAAGGGGAGGTCTTGATCCCTTGGAAGATAGTCTAGACAATTGTTCAGGCAGAGCCAACAGCGTGTGCCTGGGTGCCGGCCTGGGAGGTGCGTTTTAAAAGTGGAGAGGAGAGGACAAGGCTGCTGCCGCCGAGGAGGACAGGACACAGGGGTGACCACAGCAGTCCCCACCTTCCCATGACTGTCCCCGGCAGCCCCGCTCTGAAGCCTTTCGGTCCTGGAGGCTTGCAGGGTCTCCGATCCAGGGCTGGCTCCGATGAGAAACCCCACAGCGGGGCCCACGTCTGTTTTATTTGCTTATAAAATGCCGAGCACAGCACAAGTGCCACAAGACACTTAATAGTATTTGATGATGATGAATGAGACAATCAGATGACAGGAAGACAGCTGGATCAGACAGTGCTCTCGAAAGCGAGCTCGCTTCCCTCAAGGAGAGGGGGCCGCCTTGCAGGCCCCACCGTCGGGAAGATTCACAGAAGGCAAGCAAAGCGCCTGGTGGAGACGCGCACTCCACAAGCCAAGGGAGGGAGGAACAACAGCAGGGACAGCAAGGTGTCCCCCCCCCCAGTTGGAGAGCTGTGTGGCAGACCTAGCCCGAGCCCGGCAGGCCTCGCCACCATTCACGGCGCTGGAATCATGCCAAACCATGTGCTCTGGTCATCAGCAGGACAGGAGACAACGACCACGTGAGACCCACTCGTGTCAATGGGGATGTGCCCAAGGACGACAGAGACCATGGCTTGGCGTAAACGGCCCTCCATGTCAGCCACCCACGAGGCACAGGCCCTAAAGACGTCACCACTGCTCTTCAACCACTGAGGATCGCAGCTAGGGGCACACACCCTGACACAGGCGACCTGGCTGGAATCTCGGCCTAGGAGTAGAGCTCACCCACCCCGCCCCCGCCACCCTCTGCGCCCACGCAGGGCTGGGGCACTTTGAGGAGCAGGTCAGCCCCCGGGACAAGCGGCTGGCACGTGTGGTCCAGGTGCTGCCGCCTCCCTTTCCTCATTTACAAAATGACAACACAACAGAGCAGACCGTCTAGAGCAAGGGCTAATGGGACATGGCCACAGGGCAGTACCCTGGTCTGAGACCCTCCCCCCGTGAGCGGCATCCCAGTCGCAGCTAAGTCACTGGTCGCTTGCAAGCTGTTTCCTCACCCAAAACGGGAGCCACCCTAACAGTTCACGGCTCACTGGGCCCAGGACTCATGGGCATCCGGGGTGCCCTGTCCCGGCCCTGCCACGCAGGGAGTGGGGAGAGTTTGCAATGGTTGCTGCTATTTTCCAGCAGAGCTCACCAAATGCTTACCAGGATCACATGAAAGCACCTTTAAGTGAAGACACTTTATGAACTACAAAGGACTCCATGTGAAATGCTATTTCATCCCAAACGAGCAGAATTATATCAAGGACATCACAGAAGGAAATGAACACAAAAATGACACATAATTACTCAATAAGCAAAATTAACCACGGAAGAAATGGATATGAAAACATCAACTGGCCAGGAGGCGGTCACGACGGTCTCATTGGAAGGGGAGCCAGCCGAGACATCCGGGCTGCGATGGCAGTGCCAGCCTGTGAACGTGACTCCCCCAGGGACGGGGTCTCCTCTCTGAACCTCAGTATCCCGTTTCCCACCTGCTGAAAAGCCCACCAAGCCAACGGCCCTCGACACCCTGAAGTCACCCCACCTCATAGGACCTGGAATTTCATGCGTGCCCATTTCTGCTCAACTGTTTTTGAAAGGCAGAGCCCTGCGGTGGCATGAAGGTGCCCTGCCTTCAGCGGGAACACCAGGAGGGACAGCATGCCAAGGTCCTGGAGGCTCCACTCCCCTAAGACCGCCTGCCTCTCTGTTTTTGAAAGCTAAAGAAACCAGAGGAAGAGGCTTCCAAGCGGGGCTGGGGTGCCTGCTGGCAGGAAGTGTGAACGCGAGGCTGTGACTGGAGCAATCAGAGAGCATCCGTGTGACAGATTAAGCCTGCTGCACTCACTGTTCTAAGCTGCGCGCGCCACTCCTAATAGCTTCCACGTACTCGCAGGGTTTGCAGATGAGGCAGAGAGGAGGCTTTTAAAATTGCAAATCCTCAGCAAAGCAAATCAGGCTTCCCACCAGCCTCCTCTCGGAGGAAGGTGGTTGGTTAACCCCTTGAGAGAAGACACAGGCTCCAGCCAGGGCGTGACTTCCGGGCAAAATCAGGCCCTCGACCCCTTTTACTGACAAAGGCTCCTGTGGGAAAAAAAGAGAAGTTCCGTTTCCTCACCTCTGCACCCTGGATGGGGGAGCGAATATCCCATATCTCGGAGAGCAGCTGAAGTACTGCACACCACCGACTGAGCCGTCGTTCTTGCCGTGGGGCTTCTCGAGTTCTATCCCGTACCAATACCCTGCAACGAGAACGCCACGGGTACGCACATCTGATGCCACCCAGCCTCGGCCCATGGCAGAGCAGACCCACGTCGAAAGGACGGCACGTCTTCACAGAGGACCAAGCTGGCAGAAGGGCATCGCGATCGTTAAGCTTTCAAGGGGGAAGGCTGCAAAACAGAATTTGAAAAGCGCACGGGAAAAGCGTGATCGGCATAACTGTAGAGGGGTACGTGACAGCAGGAAATAAAATGCGCATGCAGGAGTGGGGCAAGAATAAGTCATTATGCCCAGGCGCAGGACCAGAGTCCACCGAGAAGCCGTGATGACTGGGACGGGATGTGGCCAGCCAGCGTTTCAGAGAGCAGCAGTGCAGAATACCGAGATGATCACTCAGAACAGGGGCCTTTTCATTCCACAGTGGTTCCCAAACAACCCAATAAGGACAAAGATAACATGGAAAACTCCACTGGTGTCAGGGGTCTCTGCTTTTCCCTTTCTTTTTTTCCATCCAAGACTTTTAAAAGTCATCATTTACCTACAAGAATGCTTAGGTTAGCTAATAAGGAGCTTTTAGAAGTCAGTTAGCATTCAGAAGGCGCTACTCAGAAGAAAATAACAGGATTTCCTTTTCTAGAGAGCCCAAACTGAAAGTAACAAGGTCTCTTTTATTGTGGTTCTTTCCAATATCAGGGAAAGGGACACACATGCCTAGAACAAAGAGTCCCAGGGGAGAGTGCCCGAGACCAGCCCAACGAGCCTGGGAGCCCCCTCATCCATGACATTCAAGGAGAGGGCAGCAGTCCCTGGATGTGGAAGCTTCCAATCAGTGCCAAATGAGAAGTAAGGCATAGATGTGGAGACACTGATTGCAGATTATAAATGTGCAAATATTGTTTCTTTCAATGACTAGTTTAAAGAATCCATTATATATTGATTATACACTTCCTAAAGAGCCAACTCAGAAGTTCTTGATTTTTTTTTTCCTCAGACGATGCCTGAGCCCGTGCCCAGGTACTGGGGTTTGGGTTGAAAAGACTAATGCAGACCAGGGTCTCTGGCACTTACACAGTCCTACAATGCGAGTCTGTCACAAACCTCCTGTTAAGCCACACTAATGCCCTGAAAATAGGGCACCACACCTCCAAAGGTGCCAACCCAGGCTAATCCATCATTGTTATTTCTCTTGGTGCCACATTATAATTTTCCAAGTTTTACCTCCTTCTGCCTTTGATGCTTTCCTATATAATTGCATTTTCCTATTTTAAATGACCGTATAATTGCTACATGTTTACCAGGTAACTCTTGGAAATGTGTGATAGACAGCAAAAATACATCATGACGTGTGTCACCCACAGTGACTCCACATCAGGAGTGGGTGGTGTGGCCATCCCCCCATTTAAATGTCAATTTTCTTTCCAAGGTGGCACCGAGGGAAATGCCACTGAGACTGAACATGACCTCTCTCAAGTCTAGGTCTTATTGTCTATGAGAAGCTCGTCATGACCACTGTTCTGCAGAAAAAATTGATCTAGAGGTTGATGCCACAAAAACACATGCTACTGTTTCCTTAATGGACAAGACTTTCATGAAAAAGCTTTCAACTTTTCATATATTAGCTTATTACTTTCTAAATGACTAGATGTTTTACATTAAGAATTTAAAAACTAAAAAGTCAACTCAAATAAAGAATTGTATTCAAAGAATCAGACCACTCTGTTCGGGCTTAATATCATCAGAAAAAGGGAACTCAGAATGTAACATACAGTCATTGTGAAAAATAACCCACCTGGGGGATTCTCAGGCTTGTAGGTGAGAACTGTGTTACGTATCTCCTAACTGATCTCAGCACCGCCTTGAGACCCCAGAGAGCCATGAATTATGAAACCTATAAGCCCCCTCAAGTCAGTTAGCTGGCTGGCAATTAAAAGTGCTGTTCACGAAACAAGAATGTGTGGACAGCTGCTCTCCACGGTTCTGTCAGTTTTCCGCATATCTCATGGGCAGAGACCCTGACCGCCCTTGCCCAAGATGATCTCTCCACAGATGTCAGTGCAGAGGACAGCTTTGGGGGACAGAGCCTCCCTTCAGAGCAGAGGGTAGAGGTGCTGAACAGTGAGCTCAGGACAGAGGTTCAGATTCCTTGAGCTCCGGGCTCCTCTCCTGTACCATAAACCCCAGGGATGCAGGCGCCACCCCACACGCACTCACCCTGTGGGAATTGGGGCTCGGGGACACTTTGAGAAAGGCTGACACTCTGGCTACTGCTATAACTGTGAGCACCAAAGTTCTTGTGCTCTCAAACCTGGGATGCTTCATCCTCACCCACTTGCATGGAACGGTGACAGGTTAATTTGTTAGCTTCATTCAGACCCCTCATAGCCCTTGGCCAAATGCTACAAACCTGTTTTTAAAAAGCCTGCATTCTAGGTAACCTTTTCCTAAAATGCTGCAATGCCACCATGTGTTAAAATAGCATATTGCTACTTAAAACACACACACGTGGTTTCATTCAACGGGCTTCTGCTTAAAACTATAATCATTGAAAACGCAAAGGAAAGTATTCTTCACTTTTGGAAACACTGTATTAAGTACAGACTGGATGAATGCACAAGTACTCCAGCGTGTTCTGAAGGCCCCAGGTGCACAAAGGCTTTTCGTTGTCCTTCGATCCCTTTTGCCAGCTTTGCTCTCCAGCCACTCTAATAAAAGCCGCGCGGTGAACACATCCTCTCCGCAAAACTCAAATCCCAACATGTCTTCCCTGCCACTGAGACACTTGGCCATCAGTGGGAGTAGAACTAGAGAGAGGCGACTCATTTTAACATGAGACCATTTAAGGCACAGTTGGCAAGAAAATGCATGGAAAACCGTCCACCTGGGCAAGGGAGTCTGGGTCTTCCTCCCGGCATTGCATTCCCCATCTCAGGCTGCCATCCTGCTGTAGAATTCGCCCTAACTAAATTATGTTTGCGGGTACCATGCGCACCCTTTTGTGTTCCACCGAGTTCAGGCTGAGCACGGCAAGCAGAGAGTTACCTGGAGCAAAGTTCGTCGTCCCGAAGAACCTGATGGTGCCCATCCTCTGTCCCACCACCAGCACCCTCTCACCCGGGCGCAGCTCGCCCTCACCGCGGGGGTTGGCGACTGTGGATGCTGCGGAGGACTGCGAACCTGCAGAAGGGGCGGGGCGGGGGTGCGGGAAGAGAGGAGAGAAGGTGGGGGAGATGGAAGAGCACAGTGACCACACAGCCGCCACGTGCTCACTCTTAGCTGCTGGGACTCTGGTCTCAGATGCTGAGACTTGGCGTCCTTCACTGCACAGTGTGCTTCTCACACAGGCGGTTAAGCAACCCAAGAGCCAAGTGCAGGGACTCCAGGGGACGTTATCACCACAGGAGCCCGCGGAACCTGGTCCTGGTGAACCACCAGCTCTGCAGGGACTGCCCAGCGCACCCTCCACCAGGGCAGGGGCCTGCAAAGCTCCTGCAAAGAGCTCCCGGCACATATTTCAGGCTCTGGGAGCCATGCCGCCCCAGCTCCTCAACTCTGCGGCTGTCGTGCGAAGCAGACGTGCACGGAACACAGTCCAAAGGTGCAGGTTATATTCCGACAAAGTTTCGTTTACAAAGGCAGGTGCAGGTCAGTGCGACCTGCAGGCCATGGTTTGCCAATTCCTAATTCCAGTGAAAAGCCAGAATTACAGTAGTTTGCTGACCCAGAGTAAACGATATAGAAGGAGAATGATTTGAAGGCAACACTGCATAAGCCTAGGGTTACCCCAAGTTGGTTTTCTTACCAAGAACAAAGCCACTCTCCGTTCAACCTGACTCCAGGCTAAACCCCAAAACGCCCACTGTTCAACACCAGAAGCTCTAGGGAAATACCATCTAAAAAGCTGTTCAAATGTAACAGACGAAACAGAAGGGTGGCCTCGAGCCCTGCCCACGCGGACATAAGCAGGGATTTGAATAGCTGTTGTCTGGGAGGCCCTAGAGAACCCAGCTGAGGGTGCGGGATAGAGACACGTCATGCGGTCAAAAAGGGAGAAACGTAAAACACAGCCAAGGAGGAGCACAGCCCACGGGAGAGGGCGGTCTGTACCAAGGGCTGTGCCAAGGGGCCCAGGCCCCTGTGGTAACCGGCATTCTATCCCCGGGACAGCTTACAAGGCGCTGTTCCTAAAAACCACAACAATAAATAAGGCACAAAGTCAGAAATTGCCTAAGATACAGCGTCCACAGCCAGTAAGTGGTACCCAGATTGACACCCAGACCCTGTGGCCAGAAATCCCCGAGCCTGTCCCAGTCCCCCATAGACGATGGCCTGAAGGCGGTGAGCTCAACAACAGGGCACGGAAAGACTTTGCCAGGCAAGGCTGGGCCCAGGGCAGGCAGACCCCTCCCACTGTG